GGGGGGGGGGGGGGGGGGGGGGGGGGTGGGAGTGTTACAAGCTGCACATAAAGTTTGTAAATGAAAGTAGGAAGCTAAAGTGGAATGTTCAGAGGAAAAGAACCTTCAAAAGGAGGGGTGTGGATATTTCCTGAAAGAATACAGTGATGGGATTTGTCATACATGAACTTGTATGTTAATTTTCACCGCAAGTTTTTTTTTTGGAAATTAACACAAACTACCAAATTTAACTTTAGTTTTATTTATTTTTAGGCATGAAAAGTTCAGGACTTGAACACCTTGGGAGCAGTGAATGTGATACAAACAGAATCAAAATGAAAAAATCATTGAGGTACAAATGAGGACACAGTCTTAAGAGCCCAGTGATGGGCTCCTGACAATAAATTGGTAATAATGATCAAAATCGAAGTAAAAGACAGTTAAAAAAGAAACCAAAACTACTCAGCTGAGTATCATTTAACCCTCTAAATCTCAGGAGTGGTCAAAATGTAATTTCTCATCACAATATCAATATATTGTTAAGCAAACAGGTGATGAGAATAAAGAAAATTATCAACTAACTGGTATTGTCCTGATGTACCACCAAATTCTCAGCACTGACATTAAAAGAACTGTATGGCCGTAAGTAAGAAGAACTGACAATTTGAACTTGGGATTGAAAGGGGTTGTGTGTAGTTATTTTGTTAACTTGGTTATTTAGCTGCCACAGAAACCATAATCATGAAGCTACCTATAATGATTAATAAGCCAAACAAGATGAAGGCTTGCTAGTCTGTACTGTCACACATTGTTGACCAAAAGTTATTTTAACGATAAAATTGTGATAGAGGGTCACACTCAGAAATACTGGCCTGAGGTCATGGCTGTACAGACCAAGCACAGGGAGGTCCATAGATAAATGACTAAGGGCCAATATTCTCCTGACCAATATGACTTGAGCATTTGTCTAGGCTAGCCTCTTCCAGGCGTTTAGTTAGTTGGGGTGCAGTTTGAAAAATGGCATACTTTTTTATTTTTTTGCACACTGTTTTTCGCACTGTGCCCCAACTAACTGAAAGCCTGGAAGAGGCTTATCTAGGCTAGTAAACAGTTTATTATATGGCACTATGGCCATGCTTTTGAAAACAAAACAATATGTGGCTTATGACCGTTTCCATGGAAACAGTCTGTAAAGAAAGAACCAATTAGAATGCTCCAATTTACTGCAAAACTACCTTTCCATATAATAAGAATGTTTTTAGTAGTAACCTTTTGTTAAAAATCTTCCATTTGTTCAAGGACATTTTATAAATTTATGCTAGGAAATTATCAAAACTAAACTTTCAATTGTAGTAATATTACAAATGCAAAGATTGATGTGCTATAGGAAGAAAATAGTTAAAAATTTAAAAGATTATGATTTACAAATTCGAGATCAGAGAATTATGAAATCAATATTTTCACAGATGCTGTTAGTTAAAATTATTGTGTTTATTCATGTATATAACAAAGTCTTAAATATATGTAAAAAAAAAAAAAAAAAATTAAAATTGAAACTATGCAGATGTATGTAAACAGAGTAATTTAATATTTTGCTTCCTGGCAGCAAACAAGCTTTTCATTGTATGGAGGTTTTTTGAAAATGAGGCAAGGAAATGTTTGATACTGAATCTCCACGTCATGAAATGGTTGTTTGTGTTAGTTAACCCATTGACGCCTGTGCTGGCCATGATGAGCGTTGGCCTTCATTTCACTTCTGACGTCATCACCTTTGACCAAAATTGGCATCACTTATACTCAAGTTCTGCAGGAGGAGAAGATCTTTCCAATGATACCCAGATCAGAGTGACTGGGTCAATTGCACCTGAAATATGCACGAAAATGCTAAGAAATTTGACTGAAAAACCCGGAGCAAAATTTTCCTCAACTACACCTTGCTACTCCGTGGTAAGAATTTCCCGTCTCGATGATGTTTTTCGGGAATTCTTGAACTGGAAGCAAGTCCAGTAGAAGGTCAATAACTGTTGCAAAAATATAAGAAAAGAGAAATAGAAAGGCGAAAAAATGATAATAGAAAGTGAAAAAAACAAAAAACAAAAAAAAAACCGGAAAAGCCTAAAGGCGTAGGTCACTTTGTGCGCATGCCCGAGCAAAAATGTCATAAAACGCGATGAAAGGTTTTTCGACAACGATGTAGTCAATCATGGGATTACCCTGCCGAGATTTCCTCATACAAATCCAAAATGACCGGTGATTGTTGCTACATGTAGTGTGGACGGACGGAAAACATTTGATGCGTTTTAAGAGCGAAACCTCCGTTTTCAAAAATTCCTCCGGCGTAATGTGGACGGGGCTTGATACGATAGCAACTGCGCTCATCATTTGCAAAGAAAACGCATTTCAAAACTCATTAAGTTCGAAAACGCCGCCCAGAGGAGATATTTTAACTGACGGAGCTCTATCATGTAAGTGTGGACGACGAAAACGGAAGCTTTCGAACAAGCGGACGTCACGTCGCATGTGCAGATGCCGGTCGTGGTGTTTTATAGCGTATCAGCGTTTTCGAGCGTTTTAGTGTGGGCAGGTGAAACGCTGAAATAAACGGGACCATGTACTGATTATTCAACCCAATAGTGCAAGCAACGATGGAATGAAGAGGGTAATTAGTTCTAATGTTTGTTTTTTGGAAATAGAGTGTTAAAAGTTTTGTTCATTCACGTTTTTATGGCAGACGGTTGCCATATTACAGGCTTTCAAACAGACAAATCATGACATGTTTACCGTTCGTGTAAACCCTGTAACATTTAGAAATTCCCGTGAACTTTGCCAGGCTTCTTCAACCACAACCTGAATGAGGAGTTATGCTTGGCGCACTTTCAGGCAGAACTCTTTCATCTCTCGATATAACTGAATAAATGTTATTTTAATTTCTTTTGCCAAACTTTGACGTTTAATCATAAAGCGTCGCAGACACACAACAACACTGAATGAGTTCCTTACCCCTTACCCACAATCCTCTCCGGGCCGTTATTAATTATCCAGTGTTTCATGGAATGTGTTCATCAAAAATCCCGGAAATTTCGATTGGAATGCAAATGAAACAAAAATTATCTGGGCACTTCGTTTGGACATTGTGGACTATGTTTTGAGGTGGTTGGTATGGTTGGAAAATTGCTGTATCGATCTCCTGTCTAGACGTAAACGCTAAATTATCTATTAAACACCTGCGTACGAGACTGAAACTGAGCATGCGTAACTATATCAGTTCACGTTACGTCAGTGTTTGTCAATGTTCCATTTATGCTGACCACCCAGATCTCCCACGGCTAGGCGTCAAACAGAGAGAGAGCTGGGCACTAGATATTCTGTTGAATTTATCCGCTCTGGATAGCGCTCTAGTTTACATGTGAAGGAAAGGCGTATTAAAACGTATATAAATATATAAAATATTTATTTACAGACGTAAACATTACGTGTGGATGGGTCCTGAGCTGAATTGAACACAACAATTGGTATTATATTTGAAATTCCTCTTTTTTGTTGGAAAATGAAATAAAAATCGAAGTCTAGAAGAGTCAAAATCGATTCCTTGAATTCGTAACTGATCTTTTCTACATCTCGCATAGTACTGAAGATCACGCGTGATAATTCTCAGCCAGTCTCGTTCCTTTCAATGCTGTCGTATGGAATTAACTACTGGAGGAAAAATTAAGACGTGGAGGGTTTAGTCCGGCAAGTTTAGTTAAGGTTGGACGATACACTGTTGCTGAGATATTTATATATTTTTGATGAGATGCAAGTGAAAAGCAAACGCTAATTAAGGCTGGTTCGTTATCTGAAAACCTCTTTTCACCTTCTATTCAAGACATAGCTTTCTTCGTCTTAAAGTAAAGGTTACCATATTCATAAAATATAGATAATTGATAATTATATTGGGACACATTCGACATTTTAGGCCGCAACGATTTATTGATATATAAATTTATTTTCTTCTACTGAACTTAATCAGGAGTACCCAACGACACTTTAACTGGAAATTTAATATGTGACTTNAGCGTTTTTTATTCTTGCTGGCTTAGATAGTAACTTATATAAACGAAATTTCGTTTAATGCTAGTTTACAACAGAAACTTCTCAATCAAATTGTATGTGACAACACTTGGGCATTTCCGTGGTTTACACGTATACGTAATTAACGCGCACTTGTGTGGATGATCAATTTCCGATTGCTGACATTTAGAGTTAAACACGCACACACACAAACCACATGCATTTATATATATACATCAAAAGATTTGAATGATTAGTTTATAACTGGAAAAGGGTAAAAGTAGTTTAATTTTTTCCTCTGAGGATTACAAAAGTAGACATGCAATAATGCAGTCCATTTACCTGTAGGTTGAAGGTGTGTCGTCAATATTTCGTGTTTTGCAAAAAAACAAAACAAAAAAGAAAACAAAAAACGGGTGGTTTGATATTTTCGCACTTCATTTAGAAGTAAATAACTCTAACTGTATATATTTGCTGACAAAAGTAAGCTGAGATTTTCCTTAGAAACATAATCACTTCCTTGTTTTTCTGTTAATCTTGGCTAACTCTCCATAAAGTGTGTTAACGTCATAAACGATTTGTTTTGGTCCGGGCCTAATCTTGTATGGCTCTAGGCTCTCGTTGAACTGCGCAACAACCTTTCTTTCAACTTCGGTCTCGTGGTTTCGATAACTCTTCAAAGCTTCTTGATCAATTTGCGGTTGTCTACTCGGAGGATTTACAAGATTTGTTTTCATGCCTATGTAGTTTAAAGCTCGATAGTGAGCGATCTCTATTTGCCTCGGAGCCTTATAGTTTTCAGTCCACGGAGGGGCGCTCTTCACTCTTTCTTTTTTATCCGCGCAGAACGAAATTCGTTGCCACATTTTGCAACGCATGTCCAGAACAGTGACTGGTCTCCCAAACTCGCTTGTCTTGAAAGAGTACATCTTTTTGTAAGGCACTTCAAATTGCTGACTCATCCGTTTTAGAACGCGCGAGGGGTTTTTCTCAGCGCGCTCGTCGTGCGCGGCGCTGTTCTGCAATTCGTCACTTTTCTTGGAATTTCTTTTGGATCCCATGGTGTGCTCGGAACGCCGACTTTCAAAAGCTAGATTCCAGCGTGCTGACTTGAAAGTACTCACTACAGCCTCTTGCTCTTGAGCAATTTTGGCACTTCTCTGTAGATGACTTAAAAACTTCTTGGCCAGTAGAACTTGCCTTGCCTCTATCTCAGAAACGAAGTAGTCCGTTTGTCTTTTCAAGCGTCCAAGCCGTTTCGAAAGCTCCTTTTGCTCCATGATATTCGCTCCGAGATTTCCCGTCTTTATCTTGCTCTTGTCGCCCATTTTCAATTGAAATTTTGCACGACTGTGAGCGTTAACACATGTAGCTGGCGGCGAAATTGTCTGTATTAGCCTCTAAATGTCAAGTTACTATATAAACACCAGGTTGCAAAATAATGATTTCGCGTCTAAATAGCCTGCGTTTTAGTTCATTAGGGCAATCCAACCTTTTCCGAGTGAGTCGTTGAGACAATTCCGTCCTGGTTCCACGAGATATTTCCTTGTGGCGTGCGATATAAAACGGATCATTCTCGAACTGTTTTGAAAGATATCAAATATTCGGACTCTAAGGTTGGTTGCTATGCGAAATATTATTCACATCGCGGACACCTGATTGTGAAGTTTCAATGTCTATCTCCTGGTATGAAAACAATAGTTCAGCCTGCCCAATCACATTCCCCCAAACAAGCGCTTTAATGAGAAATCATTCGCCTTTCCGGCTGCAATGACGTAATTATGCGGACAGGTGGACTTGTCATGTTTATTGGAGTAAAGAGGCCCCCGTGTATACGAACAGCAGGTGTCCGTATGTTTGTTTGAGTAAGCAATAGGACGCAAATTAATTGCAATTGATTCGAGAACGCTGGAATAATTCAAAAACGTAATAGGAGATATGAAAAAAAGCCTTAACTTTACGCTGGTAAACGTGACTGACAACGGTTTATGCCGACACTTGTTTGGCAGGTGATACTACGGAGGAAATTGAAATTGCTTACGACTTGATGCGATCTTCTCTCGCTTTGAACAAAAAAAAAAAATGAAATCGTTGCAACGTTCAACAGATTATAGTGGTCGTCAAAATGGCGATGTACCGGCACAGTTTTTCGGAGTTACTGAGGTTTTCTCAAATGACATGATCAGTGTTTATATTTGTGATCATTTTAATTGATATGAGAAAGCAGACAATTATATAGGTGTTGGAATTATGCAAATAAGCGCACTCTTTCTGCGAAACTGTTTTCGTGTTTTCCTTTTTTATATTGAATATTCTATGAAGAAGGGTTCAGTTAATTCATTTCGTGTCTGCAAAAATATTGCTCTTAATACTGCCTTCCCAGCAAGCATTTTACCCCCTTTCAATGTTGTAATTCCGAGTAAAATTCCGCGTAAATAAACATGATTCTAAGTTTTAGTCTGTGTATAGCACCCTACAGTGTGTGACCATTCAATTGAAAGCTATTGAGCGGTATTTTCATATGATGCTATTTATTGTGCTGTAAAAGGTGGCTGCGGCGGCAAGTCTTAGTTCTGTAGATAAAACCCTAGTGTGTCTCAGCTTAACTAAAAACCTTTCAACCAGTACGTTCATTTGGAGCTGTTTGTTTTTTAAAAAAAATTGAAAAATGATGAATATTTCATTTCTTTTGTAAAATTTGGCATGAATGCAGTTGACATATTTAGTCGCCATATCAACCATAGAAACAAGCCAATATGGAGGTAAGGTATAAATAGGTAAGAATAAATAGAAGTTACGGTTAAATTTAATTTGAGCTCTGTATAAAATAAAGTGAACGCATTTTGAACAAATACTTTTAAACTGTCATGAAGTTTGTCTTTTCAGTTGACCATCGTTTCTATCATAGGTGTGTTCGTTGATTCAACTTGATTGTGATCTTTCAAGTTCACTCTTCTCCATTTTGATCGTATAAAGCCATCTTGTTGTTTAACGAAGCTAGCCAATTTTGCTAATTCTGCCGCTATTGTTAACCTCGTTGTTAATAGCCGTCTCAATCAGTTCTACAATCTCAACTTTACGCTTTGTTCCGTTTTGAATTGGCGTAATATTAGCTCTTCGATGTTATCTTGCCTTAGAAAACCCGTGCTCTACATCGAAGACTCTACATTGACTTGATTCATTGTAAAAGAGGTTCAGGCCCTTTAACACGCTGCAAGCTTCAATCCTTGTTTACCTCAAGAAGAGACAAGTCTTTTGTTTCCGGGGTAGGTTTCGTTTGATTTTAACTACATATCAAAAGACATAAATTAATCTATACTGAAACTAATACTACACATTGCATATGAAAAACTAATTAGATTACAATAATCGTGACAACCCTGAGGATTTTAATACGATTTTAACAACAGATAAGTCAAATGAATGGAAGAATACTAGAATCATGACTAGCGAATTGCTGTAGTATTACTATTACTCTTACATAATATACCTGCTCAGGAACGCTTTACATGAAGTGTACTTTCATATCCCATCGAAAGGTAAATTCTCGCTCGCTATCGACACGCGCGTGATTCCAATAACGCCGACCCACCCCACAGGCGGTGGCCTGATAGTCAGCGCGCGCGCTGGAACTAGATCGAGCGGTTCGGGTTAATTGGAGCCTGGTCGAGGTCACTGCGTTGTGTTTTGGGCAAAACACTTTACTCTCACAGTGCCTCTCTCCACCCAGGTGTATAAATGAGTGCCGGCGAATT